TTATAATCAGTCAGTTTTAATTTTTTTATCTTTAAATCACAACGTTATGCAGTCTTCGACATTTTTACTTATTGATAATCAACAAATCAACATAACAACCCCTTATTTAAGAAAAAATTTTAATTACACCTTGAAAATACTTAAAATAGGTGGGGTGTTTATTTGAGTAGGTGTGGATTCTTTTTTTGAATGTTATTAATGGTTTTTCAATAATATTAAACATAAAATTACTTATTTAAGTTGTTATCTAATATCACAATAGGTAATTATTATTTATGTAATAACAAAGTGAATCACAAAGCATAAGTCACGACATGATGAGGCACGTGGTCGCGGCAAAAGTCTTCGTTGCTTGTATGAAATTCAACACGCCGAACATGACCGATCACAGTGCGAAAACTCCCGAATGCAGTTTCGGTTTCGCTCGTAGTTTTGGCAGGTTTGCCGCCGAAACCGAAATTAAATCGAAACCCGTTTTTTTGCCGAAACCGAACGTTCGGTCGGACACTAGATTTCTGCATATCATTCTAAATTTATATTCTTCTGACTGTTCTATTTGAAACATATCTCGTTACCACTGATTGACCATGATCTGACAGCTGTCAGTTTTTCACTTGGTTAGAAAATCTGTGAAACTAAGATGAAGTAATCCATTTATCTTTGGGTTCCAGTACAACTTGGGTGACATCAAGTTCGTTTTAGAATACAAGTGCATTTCAGTTTGGAGGACTGGTACTAACTCTAACAAGAGATAAACAGAAAAATTAGGTGGTTCTTTTGTTGAAGGAAAATTGAAATGATAAAAATTTGACATAGCTTACACTGAATGAATTCCTGAACAGTGAAAATGTGACATCCTCTGGTCTTTGTGTACGTGTGTTCCACCCTATACGTCATTTTGAGTTATTGATAATGCCGCGGGCGGGAAGTAATGGATGTTGTCAAAGAATTATGACAGTATCTAGAGTCAAAAGTAGATGTACATGTAAGTTCAATTTAGATGTGTTTATCCTGCCAAAATGATGTCCGATTTCATAGGTATTTATAAAGCGATCCTTAATAAGATTATATTCGATGTTAGGGGGGTATTTGAGATTCTTTTGAGACCTAGACAGTTACTAGAATTCGAGAAGAAATAGTCCAATGGTACTGACATATCGGAACAGACACTGACGGTCCAAAAAAAGTAGAATTTTTTGGAAAATTGTTCCTCAGTGATGAAATAGAACGTTGGTAATGTTTTGTATTATCGCCTGCAATTCTGGTGTCCTCATAATCAAGTTTGGATAATTATCGCCGATGAAAAGTATCCTCTATAATTGAAACTAAAGTTTGCTCAAAGTCAGGAAAACATTTGTCCTGCAATTTGGTATCCATATTACTTGTTATTTTTGCTGTATCTAAAACAGAAGATTCTACAAGGTTGGTTATTTTGGACAAAATAATTTGAGGCTCCCAAATGTTTTTTTTTAGTTGAAAATATTTTTCTAAAGCCATTTTAACATAAAGGTTTCTTATTCTTTCTGCAAAGTGCATATCGCTCTCGGTTGTATTTTGACATTTTTTCGATTTATTTCACAAGAGTGTCAGTTGAACATTTCCACTATTGAGATTTGTGTTTTTCTTCACTTCCTCGCAATTTCACACTGTCTTCTGGGCATAGCTTTCCGGAGGCATTTCTGCTAGGTTTATACCGTGTGCATACTTTTACCATTTGAAATTTACACTTTTTCAGCTTGCTTAATATTTCGGTTTGGAGAACTCCCCAATCGTCGCAAAATCCCGTCCTTTTATGGATCTCTTCAATCTCGGGAACAGGGGGGCCAAATCTGGTAAATACGGTGGCTGAAGCATGACCTCGAAGAAAACAGTGATCAAAACCTCAACATTTGATCGAACTTGACGTGCTTTCTTTGGTCTTGCNAGTCCCAGATATTTGGTATTATGGACTCTCGTTATTTCTTTGCCTCCTATCTCCACTATGATGTTCTGTTGTTTCATGTTTTTCTGAGAGAAGATTATAAAAGTAGTCTTCTTTACATTGATCTGAAGTTCATTTTTTGCAAGCCTTTCAAGGTCGGTATTTACTAGTGTTTCGAGTTGTTTCAAGTCTCAACCCTTATATATAAGAACATTATCATCTGCGAATTTGAAGTATCTACCTATAATGTTAGCAGTCTTCAATGACAGAACATGTAATGTATAGAGTAGGGGTCCAAGGACTGAACCTTGGATTGGCCACCCAAATTCCCCGATTTGACTGTAGTGCACTGTTTTCTATCAAAAGTTCGCGAGATTCAGCCAACTATTTTTTGTTATCTCCCGAAGAGAAATTATCAGGTGCTGTAGATGCAATTCTGCCATTGTAGGTTTTTTTGTCTTGAGTTTGCCATCAATCAGTTCTCTACTCCAATCACTCTGCCGCACCTCGAAGCTATTTTGTTTAATTCGAATATTAATATCCTGGAACCCGATATAACAATACTCTATCCATCCTCCCTACCTTTATGGTATCTACCATGAACTTTTTCGCGTATTCTACCGCAGCTAGAACCACTAAGAGCAAGGCATCTTCACGTTTGGATTCATGACTTCGGGTGATGTTACTACCAAGTTACTTCACCACGTTTTGTGTCCACAATCGTCTTCGGGTTATGACTGGACTATTCCTCCGAGAGATGACTATATATAGGTCATTCGAGCGCTTTCACCTATCCCCTCTTTCCTCTTTCCGCTTCATTGATTTTAGCGAGAGATGCCCGTTTTCCCCGCATAGGTTTCCAGATGTCATGTATATCTACGCTAGCTTGGCCGAATGCGTCATTAGACAACATATATGCAGCTTTTTTGAGCTTCCTCATGTGGATGATTTCAGCTTGGGACCAATTGATGATATGTTGATCAGTCCAAACATTTGCCGCACTCACAGGGTATCCGGTAAATGCAATTCTTGGAATCGCAGTCCGCGTTTGGTGGCCTGGTTTTCATGAGACTGCTACGGATGGTGTTTCCGGGTCTGAGGCAGGTTCTGATGTGGTGCTTGGACCCAATTCTTCTCATCCTTTCCGTTAATCTGACGTAGGGAAGGGCAAACACTGGTTGTGACGGCTTCTCTTCCTTGTGAGGCTCTTGCTGTCTTCGAGCCAAAATATGCCCAGAGATTTCCAATCACATATACCTAATATTAGACAATGGAAGTCCAAACTAGTGAAATTGTGCCTCTTTGAGGTTATTAAGAGTCTTGGCATATTTAATTGAAGCAAACATTTCTTACGGTTTGAAGGAACTGTGGAAAATTCGCATCGAATGTTCATTGTTATTTTCAATTTCAGGTAATAATAGTTACGAATACGATCTAGTCGTCATTGGGGGCGGATCAGGTGGTTTATCAGCAGCCAAAGAAGCCACCAATTTGGGTGCCAAAGTCGCCGTCTTGGACTACGTGACTCCCAGTCCTCGTGGAAGCAAATGGGGCTTGGGAGGTACCTGTTTTTCATGAGACTGCTAAGGATGGTGTTTCCGGATCTGAGGCAGGTTCTGATGTTGTGCTTGGACCCAATTCTTCTCATCCTTTCCGTTAATCCTCTGACGTAGGGAAGGGCAAACACTGGTTGTGACGGCTTCTCTTCCTTGTGAGGCTCTTGCTGTCTTCGAGCCAAAATATGCCCAGAGATTTCCAATCATATATACCTAATATTAGACAATGGAAGTCCAAACTAGTGAAATTGTGCCTCTTTGAGGTTATTAAGAGTCTTGGCATATTTAATTGAAGCAAACATTTCTTACGGTTTGAAGGAACTGTGGAAAATTCGCATCGAATGTTCATTGTTATTTTCAATTTCAGGTAATAATAGTTACGAATACGATCTAGTCGTCATTGGGGGCGGATCAGGTGGTTTATCAGCAGCCAAAGAAGCCACCAATTTGGGTGCCAAAGTCGCCGTCTTGGACTACGTGACTCCCAGTCCTCGTGGAAGCAAATGGGGCTTGGGAGGTACCTGTGTCAATGTGGGGTGCATCCCCAAGAAGTTGATGCATCAAGCCGCTCTACTGGGAGAAGCTGTGAAGGTAAGATAACGTCGGAACGTGCGCGTTTGGGAAATATTGAGGTATAGGTAATTCGTTACAATAACTTTGGAATAGAGGGTAGTTTCTAAGTAGTTTCTACAGATTCGTTCAACACTATTTCTTAAGATTGATCCATTTTTTTCTTCCGATTGTCTAATTTCTTTACCACCATTTATTTATCAGACTAGATGATAATAATAACAAGAAAATATAACCAGACTAATTACTCATAATTTACTTTCAGGATGCCCAAAGTTATGGATGGCAATTTCCCGACGCCGAAAATATCTCCCATAGTTGGGATGCTTTGAGAGATGCCGTCCAGGGACATGTCAAATCCGTGAATTGGGTCACAAGAGTGGAACTGAGGGATAAGTAAGTGCTGATTATCATAAAAATGCTAGTCTCGGGATGGATGTTAAAAATAGACAATTGAATGATTGAGACTGAAACTAAAAGTGACAGTTGGGTGGTGAAACATGCATCAAATTTTAGTGGAGATGGTAGAAAAACTTATGCAGTAATAAACCTTCGTATGCTAGGAGGACAATGGTACACGTGGATAATGAGCTAGTCTTGGAACGTACATTATTCTCGTTTTTATATCTCTGGTTTTTGAAATGAAGTATGTTTTGGAGCTTACAATTACGAAAATTAACAACAAACATGATTTCTTCATTTATCACGAACCAACTGATACAGACACAACTATTAATAACCATTCTAATCACCCTTATCAACATAACACCTCACCACAGCTTGACTCACAGACTCATTGGTATCTCGATATCCGCAGTGAATTTTAATGAGGTATTGAGTGTGATAAAACAAATTGCAGAGAGAGAGAGAGACACACACACAGAGAGAGAGACACACAGAGAGAGAGAGAGAGACAGAGACAGAGAGACAGAGACAGGGAGAGATAGAGACAGAGAGAGAGAGAGAGAGAGAGAGAGAGAGAGAGGGAGTTTTTTGGGCATATTATGTATTTAAATTTAAAACT